ACTGAGGAGATTTCACCCCTCCCATATCCAAGAATCTCCTGAGCAGTCTGCTGATTCTCCAGAGAGGAGGAGGCGTGTTCTGCTCTCTACTTATTCTGCTCCAGCACCACATCAAAGAGTCAGTCAGTGTGTCAGAGAGAGAGTGTGTTAGAGAGAGATTGTGTGTTTAGATAAGGTTGCTGCTAAGAGCAGCTGTTGTCTTTGTCCATGGAGTTTTCTTGGCAAGGATACTGGAGTGGCTTGCCGGTTCCTCCTCCTCTTGAGAAGTAGAGACGTCACCTTGCCAACAAACGTCCGTATAGTTAAAGCCATGGTTTTCCCAGTAGTGATGTATGGAAGTGAGAGCTGGACCATAAAGAAGGCTGATCGCCAAAGAATTGATGCTTTTGAATTATGATGCTGGAGAAGACTCTTGAGAGTCCCATGGACTGCAAGAAGATCAAACGCATCCATTCTTAAGGAAATCAGCCCTGAGTGCTCACTGGAAGGACAGATCATGAAGCTGAGGCTCCAGTACTTTGGCCACCTCATGAGAAGAGAAGACTCCCTGGAGAAGACACTGGTGCTGGGAAAGATGGAGGGCACAAGGAGAAGGGGGCGACAGAGGACGAGATGGTTGGATAGTGTTTTCGAGGTTACCAGCATGAGTTTGACCAAACTGCGGGAGGTAGTGGAGGACAGAGGTGCCTGGCGTGCTCTGGTCCATGGGGTCACGAAGAGTCGGACATGACTAAACAACAACAACAACAACACGAGCAGCTGCAGACACTCAGTGCGGTTCAGCATTCATTTATGCTTAGACCTACTTAGCTCTGTATATAGTTGTATTATAATTGTAGTTATAGAATAAAGAAGATATTCTACAGAGCTGCTCTCCGAGGTGTTTATATACTCTGCTAGACTCTGCTGTACTCTGCTGTGCGACGACTGTCTTCTTGTGGAAGTGAATCCGGTGCTCACAACTCTAAGCTGTGAGTCCACAGCACTTTGACCTGTTCCTGTCCAGAAGGTGGTCTCTGGAAGTGCTACCCAGCTCGCCTAGCCCAGTCGGGGCTGAAGTGGATGAGTCCAGTTTGTGGCATTGGCTCAAGGGCGATGCTGACACCGACATGGGCTGCCATACGCCTGTATTTTCCTGGAAATTGTCCCGATTTCTGCCCAGACACTGCTGCCGACTGCAGTATTCTGGATATGACAGTCCTAACTGCATCGTTGCAATTGGATGCTTTGGGCTCCTGCAGAGATAGCATAGACTGAAAAGAAAGACAAGGGAGGGCAGCTATAATGTTATGGCTGATAGGTGGCCTTCTTTCTTTCTTGGCTGGACTGATGGCTAGCAGTCTGGGAGGTTTGTTGTTGTTTATCAGTGGGAGCTCATGGTTAGGCAATGGTCTCCTGGTAGCAGGGAGTCTCTCTTGTGTTTTGAACGAGAGGCCCATCAGAGCTTGGAAAGGGCGATGGCTTTCCTCCGGCTAAGGTTTGAGTGTCTGAGAAACAGTTGGCAGTTTAAGAGAAACAAAGGACTGTATCTCCTTGAATGAACCTGCCTGGGCTTTGAGATCTTCTGGAGAGGCCTTTCTCTCAGTTCCGCCACCTTCACCCGCGAGTTTGGTGAGGACACCAGAAGGGGCCTTCTTGGTGGCTGCTCCTAGATTTTGGAACTCCCTTCCACAAGAGGGTAGGCTCCCCCGCTCCCTCCCGCTTTCCTTTCACAGGCAGGCAAAATAGTTACTCTTATAGGCCTTTGGCTATGAACTGGCTGTCGTAGTAGCAGGGTCTTCTGAGGATGTGTGGGTTTGTGTGTGGGTGTGTGTGGGTGCATGCTTTTAAATAGTGAGTGTTTCCAGTGCTGTTTCCAGTAGGGTTATTTATTTAATCGTGAGGTTTTCTATATTGCGGTTTGTTGTTGTTGTTGTATCTGATTTATTTTATGCTGTGAGCTGCCTTGAGTTCTGCACTGGCAGAACAGCAGGATATAAATTTTAAAAATACAAATATTCTACCTGGAGATGTTGGGAATCAAACTGGGACCTTTCACATGCAAAGCAGAAGTTCTATCACTGAGCCACAGCCTTTCCCAGCTCTCCATATTTCAGTTATTATATATCTTTGTAAATGGCTCAACATTAAAGCACAGTGCAAACTGTGAGCCACAAAGCCTGGCATCAGAGACAAAGGGGTCCATTAGCAAACAAATTAATGTGAGTGTAGAAAGCTTTAAACCCGCTGCTTTAGTATTTAGCCTGCTTTCTTGTTACATTGTAAAAACTGACATTCGTGCATGAATGCTATAAAAACATCACTCCCGGACCAGAATTAAATTTATTTGATGGCAGCTCCATATAGTTACAGCTATGGTTTTCCCAGTAGTGATGTATGGAAGTGAGAGCTGGACCATAAAGATGGATGATTGCCGAAGAATTGATGCTTTTGATTTATGGTGTTGGAGGAGACTCTTAAGAGTCCCATGGACTGCAAGAAGATCAAACCTCTCCATTCTGAAGGAAATCAGCCCTGAGTGCTCACTGGAAGGACAGATCCTGAAGCTGAGGCTCCAATACTTTGGCCACCTCATGAGAAGAGAAGACTCCCTGGAAAAGACCCTGATGTTGGGAAAGATGGAGGGCACAAGGAGAAGGGGACAACAGAGGACGAGATGGTTGGACAGTGTTCTCGGAGCTACAAACATGAGTTTGACCAAACTGCGGGAGGCAGTGGAAGATAGGAGTGCCTGGCGTGCTCTGGTCCATGGGGTCACGAAGAGTCGGACACGACTAAACGACTAAACAACAACAAGGTGGTTTTTAAAGGGTGAATGCGAATTACTTTTTTAAAATACCTTTCTTATAAAACTAGACATCAATGTCATCCAACAAACGGCTGTAAAGTTGATTTTGTTGTTGTTTCAAAACCCCCAACATGGCAAAACTTGCAGCTAATACAACAAAATCAGAACCTACAGAAAAATGGACCCCTAGTCCAACTCCAAAATGTTGAATGGTTTCTTTAAATGTAAAGGTTCATCATTGTTCCACTCCATGTGTATGTCTTTAAGGGGCCAGAGCAAGGGCCAGAGCAAAATAACGAGACCCAGCTTTACAGCTGTGAAACATAGCAGGTGCTGCTGAGTTGTATTGATTAAGCTGTGTCAGCAATTGGGTGTAGTATATAAGGAGCAGCACCTAGCTCTCCCATTACCCTGGGGGATGGGTTGGTGGTTGGATCTGGTTTGTTGTTGATGTATTTAGTGTGTAAGGAGTTTTTGTAATTAAAACCTTGTTTAAGTTATTTTTGAGTCCCTTTTTAATGCATGGTCTCCCCAGCAAGTTCTCTGCAGCATTACTAAACTGCAAATAGCCAACACAAAATAGTCAACAAGCTAGTTCATCTAACCCAGTGGTTCTCAAACTTTTTCAGTTCACCGTTCCCTTGGTTCCATAAGCTCATCCCCAGGTCTCCCCACCCTATAAAAAACATTATTCAGGATAGCGGCTTGCACGACCCACCAAGGAAGATAATAATGCAATAAAATTCAGCAAAGAATGTTGCATGAAAAATATGCTTATGCGTTCTTAGTAACAAAAACATGAGGCTGAAGGAAATTTATAGCATAAAATATTTATATAGAACTACTTACCGCACATGCACATAACTTCACTTCTTGCAGGTAACTAACTTATAAGAAAATTAGTAGCTATTGCCAATAATCCCCCCCCCCCGTGACTGGTGATGACCCAGAACGGTAAATACATACAAGCAGCAAAACTTTAAATATGAAACGAGGAAAGTGTTTCGCTCTGAGCTCTAGCCTGGTCAATTGTAAATAAGATGTCAATGTGCTCCAAAGGCCGTAGGGCCCTCCCGATACCCAATTCCGTCTTAGTGACCCTGCTGTCCCCTCGGCTCCTAATGCACCCCTCCCTCAAATAATCCCTGCATCCCACTCTTTACCCTGTTTCTTACTGTGTTTGAGATTTGTTTTCATCCATCTGGCTCAACAAACAATGGAGTGTGCCTCTGGGGGTGAAGTCAAAACCTCCGTGTTAGCAGCACTGAAGTGACCTCCCTGGCAGTGTGCATGGAGGTCCTGGGCTGCCCAGTTGACAAAAAAACCCTCTTGGCCTCTCTGACTGGGTCCAAAGGAAAGAAGGGCTTAGGGCCCTCGTATTTACAGGACCGCCTCTCCTGGTATGCCCCGCAGAGGACCTTAAGGTCCATGAATAATCATAGTTTAGAGGTCCCGGGCCCTAAGGAAGTCAGATTATCCTCCACCAGGGCCTTCTCAGTGATGGCTCCCACCTGGTGGAATGCTCTGCCCCATGAGACCAGAGCCCTGCAGGATTTAACTTCCTTCTGCAGGGCCTGTAAGACAGAGCTATTCTGCCTGGCTTTCAACTTGAACTTAGCCTGATCTTTTATTCCCATTCCTTCTCTCCCCCTCCCCTTTTTATGAAGATTACCCACTCTGGGATCCCACAACTAATTCTCCCCTGGTCTCCTCGCTGGCCCAAATAGGACTAATTTAGCCAGCTAGCCCTGGTGATCTTCTAATGTATATTGGATGGATTTCCCCCCTAAATTGATCTTTGAATTCTGAATTTATTGTTATTCACGTTTTATATTGTATTTTATGCTGTTTTTTGTTGCATCAATTAAGTGTTTTAAATTTGTTAGCTGCCCTGAGCCCGGTTTTTGAACTGGGAAGGGCGGGGTATAAATAAAAATTTGTTGTTGTTGTTGTTATTTGCATTTGGCACCAGCTTGGCTGCTGCAGTTGCCAAAAGGAGGCATATAGTGAGCCACCGAAACGTCTTAGGGACTCCACTCTGCATTTGTGTAGGGTTTACTCCTTGGCCTTCTTTTCTCCCAAAGATGTCCTGCAAGGCAGCGGAGTTTTGGACCAGGGTTTTCCTTCTCCTAGATGGGCTCCCTTCCCAGGTAGACAAGCCCCACCTGCCCCTGTGTTCGATTCTACATGCCACGATTTCAGGTGCACTTACCATCTCTGTGAAGGAGTGGGATGACTGGACGTAGACTGACACAACCTGGAAGAAGCAGGGACACGGTTTCACAAACTGCCAGAAAAACTCCCCGCAGTAAATTTTATGTGTGTGCATTTTTTTTAAGAAACAAAACCAGGTACCTCACTGCTCCGAAAAAGGACGACATCGTTGCCGCACGGGATTCGGCCCTTATCCCAATTGGAGGCATTTTCAAAATTGGTGTCTGGAATCCATTGTTTGTACACTGCGCTTGAAGTCCCTGAGAATGACCCAAAAAAGCCACAGAAGGTAATTGTTAAGTTGTGGGTGAACATATCAGACGACACAGCGATTCTTCAAACAGCTCTTGTTTATTCACAGGCCAGAACAGAACTGAACTGAATGGTTCAGCCAGCCTGCTTATATAGAGCTCCACTAGAACGCAACAGTAAACATTTTCTGTAACTATCCAATCACTGAACGTCACTTTCGATCCCTTATTTGCATATGTGGACCTGAACTATCTACAGTACCCCCCTGCTGGCCCAGGGTGAGAACTTCAGTACATAACACCAATAACAATAAGCTTTGACTGGGACTGCTGTGCCTGTGTGGACACAAGCGTTGCAGAAATGGCTTCTTGGTTAGGCAGACATGTTGCTGGCTGGCAGCAATTCTCCAGGTCTCTCTCAGCCAGAGGCAGATCTACCATGAATCTAATGAAACTTCAGCTAATCCCAGAGAGGGCCCAGAAGCAACTTTACTCCACATTGCTTTTTTTAAAAAATGGATCTAAGAAACCCAATTTGAGTCACATTGATTTGAGTCATATTTATTTATTTATTTTCTTGTATATATTTCAACAACCCCAAAGTTTGAGAGTCGGTAAAGAAGGCTGATCGCTGAAGAATTGATGCTTTTGAATTATGGTGCTGGAGGAGATTATTGAGAGTCTCATGGACTGCAAGAAGATCAAGCCTATCAATTCTGAAGGAAATCGGCCCTGAGTGCTCACTGGAAGGACAGATCCTGAAGCTGAGACTCCAATACTTTGGCCACCTCATGAGAAAAGAAGACTCCCTGGAAAAGACCCTGATATTGGGAAAGATGGAGGGCACAAGGAGAAAGGGACGACAGAGGACAAGATGGCTGGACAGTGTTCTCAAAGCTACCAGCATGAGTTTGACCAAACTGCGGGAGGCAGTGGAGGACAGGAGTGCCTGGCGCGCTCTGGTCCATGGGGTCACGAAGAGTCGGACACGACTAAATGACTAAACAACAACAACAAAGCACAGATGTTGTAAAGGTGTGTTGATCTGTTGTGGAACAAGCCCACTTGTGAAGCTAACAGTGGTAGTGGGATAGGAGAAATTAAAATAATACCAATATATTTCACATCTGAAATGTGCCCCTTTGGTTTCAGATAGCACATGGGTAGACAAGTCTAAAAAGCCCAGGACACAAATTTTCATGGCCCTCTAGCTACTATGGTGGCTCATTTACCAGAAAAAACAAATTTAGTGTTAACTCTAGAAGTATATACTCGATTCTGATCAAAATAAGCCTCATACACACCAGGAAGCTTAGGTGAATTCCTAGCCCTGAGTGAAAATGCAGGGAATTGGAACCAGGAGCTATACTGTACCACGGAACTATGGCTGTTTGCCAGAGAGAGATTGCCCTGCTGTTCCCACAATGTTCTACTGTTCAGCTCACAAAAGACTAGAGCCGAGTCTGCAGGCAATTTCTAGGCAGAGAATGGCTTCATATATTTTGGCAAACTCCAGCAAGCGCTACAGCAAGCAGATTGACAGGCAGTTCCTGCTTTCGCTGCAGCATCCAAAGCAGAAATGGCAGAGGGGTAAAGGCAACAAGCTGTTAACTGCAGAAACAGGGGGTGCGTGGCAATTGCTCGCCGCCCCCGCCCCCGCCCAGCCCTCTTTCACACCTGAAGCCGTTCCCAATCTACTGAGAAGAGGGCAGCCAAGAAAGTGCTTTGTGATCATTATGGCGAAGGATCACTGGCTGCCGTTATTTAGATATGTTGAAGAAAATCTACAAAGCAAAATGTGGCCACGGAAGAGCCACGCTTGAGGAAGCATCCTGAGCCCTGTTGCTTAAATCCCAAACCAAAAAAGGATGTTTCCAGTGATCACTTGTCAGAAGGGCAGTTGGTGCAGCATCTTCAAGGGTGAGGGAGTTGCTGAACAGGTAAAATCCAGCATATTTGGGCAACATTTCTGTCTCTGCTGGATTTACCTCCCCTTGAAGCAGTGTGTGTGTCTGTTTGTGTGCACACCACAGATAGCAAATGCTGGCAGGACTTCTGCCCCTTCCAGATTTTAGGCATGTTCGCTGTGAGTCTAGGGTGGACAAACAAAACCCAAGAATCGCACCTGTAGCTTGAGTACAGCCACATACAGCCTTCTCTTTTAGACTATGGTATTAACATGCAATTCGATCAGTTTCCCAGCAACAACACTGAGTGCTCCTGATTGGAGCACCACGAGCTTTACTCTAAACCTCCAAGGGTATTTTGCTTCATGACAGAGAGCTTGCTATGTCTTGTTAGGAGGGCTAAGTCATCTCCGTGGCCCGAGAATCTTCTTTGCCTTCCTACTTGCATTGGTGAGTGACGCTAAGGGCCAGTAGGGCGAATTTTGCAAGCGATGTGATCTTTCTTTTTTTGTCTGTGTGGCTGATGTCTGGGTGCTGCTTGCTTTGAGGAGCACCTTAAAAAGCAGAGACATCACCTTGCCAACAAAGGTCTGTATAGTTAAAGCTATGGTTTTCCCAGTAGTGATGTATGGAAGTGAGAGCTGGACCATCAAGAAGGCTGATCGCCGAAGAATTGATGCTTTTGAATTATGGTGCTGGAGGAGACTCTGGAGAGTCCCATGGACTGCAAGAAGATCAAACCTCTCCATTCTGAAGGAAATCAGCCCTGAGTGCTCACTGGAAGGACAGATCCTGAAGCTGAGGCTCCAATACTTTGGCCACCTCATGAGAAGAGAAGACTCCCTGGAAAAGACCCTGATGTTGGGAAAGATGGAGGGCACAAGGAGAAGGGGACGACAGTGGACGAGATGGTTGGACAGTGTTCTCAAAGCTACCAGCATGAGTTAGACCAAACTGTGGGAGGCAGTGGAAGACAGGAGTGCCTGGCGTGCTCTGGTCCATGGAGTCACAAAGAGTCGGACACAACTGAATGACTAAACAACAACAACAATTAAGCTCCTTGCTCTGGTGGAACTTCCTCCTGCCCCCTCCAGCCTGCAGATTCAAAAACTCCCTTCTGATCCCTGTGTCTGCTTCTGCCCAACCTGTCCTCATTAGACACGGCGATAAACATGGCGAGCCAGAGACATCCAGTCCATCCCTTTCCCCACCAGCAACCCCTCAAAACAAACCCTATATATATATATTACTGCTTGCAGTGATGGCTGGCGCCCATGGTGAGCGGTTGAGCAGAAGGTAGGGAGCCTAGACAGTAGGGGGCGCGAGAGGCAATGGTACACGAGAGCCAATGATACACAGAGGCAGTGTGGTGTGATGGCTAGAGTGGTGGGCTATAGGCCAGTCTCCTTGGGCCAGTCGTCGTCTCTCAGCCTAACAACAGGGTTGTTGTGTGAATGAAATGAGGAGGAGAACCGTGTTACACCTTGACCTTCTTGGGAGAAAAGGTGGTATTTACCGTAAATGTAATAAATAACATGAGGATTGGCCTTTTCTGTGGTGTCGCCCCCACTGGTGAGACACTCTCCCCAGGGAGACTCATCTGGCACCTTCAGTACTTATATCTAGGCACCAGGCAGAAGCATTCCTCTTCTCCCAGGCCTTGGGATTTAACTTCCTTCCGCAGGGCCTGTAAGACAGAACTATTCTGCCTGGCTTTCAATTTGCACTTAGCCTGATCTTTTATTCCCCTTCCTTCCCTCCCCTTCCCCTTTTTATGAAGATTACCTGCTCTGGGATCCCACAGCTAATTCTCCCCTGGTCTCCTCGCTGGCCCAAATAGGACTAATTTAGCCAGCTAGCCCTGGTGACCATCTAATGTTTATTGGATGAATTTCCCCCCTCAACTGATTTTTGAATTCTGAATTTATTGTTATTCACATTTTATACTGTATTTTATGCGGTTTTTTTCTGTTGTTGTTGCATCAATCAAGTGTTTTAAATTTGTTGTTAGCCGCCCTGAGCCTGGTTTTCTGAACCGGGAAGGGCGGGATATAAAGAAAAAATTATTATTATATTATCATTGCGTTAATTAAACAATCTATGGCCTTTTAAGTTGGGTGGTGGTGGTATAGTTTTGCTTGTTATGTATTTTTCTGGCTTTATACTGTAAACCGTGCTGTGGAAATGTGGGGAACTGAATTTAAGATTGGGAAAAGGAGCAACTGAGAGAAACTGAAACTGACCAATTCGCCCATCCCTAGTTAACAACCCAGTAATACTCATAGTAATACTTGTGATTAAACAAAAATGGGGCGAGCTCCTCTTAGAACTAAATTACTAGATATAATGTTAAAGGCGTTACACGTTTCAAGACATGTAAAGTTGTTGTTCTTCTAAATGGTCTCCTCCAAGGGGGTTCCCCCCCCTCCCTCCAACGGCTGTTATTTTAGAAGGGGAAGCCAGGGCACATGAATGTCACGTCAAGTTTCACACTTACTTTTTAAATTTTCTTTTTGAGTCTATAAAAGTAAGTCTAAGTAGTGAATTTCTCTTAAGTCACGGGGGTGAGGGGGAGCAAAACCACATGGTACAACCATGATCAGATCTCCTGATATGATGCTTAAAAAAATCCCAAAACTGCAATGTGTTCTTTAAATTACAGCTGCCTCAAGAGTTTCACTTTCCATTTAAGTAGTGGCGTTGGAGGAGAGGCTGTTTAAGCCTTCTGCACACCAATCTCCTCATCTAAATCAACTGCCCACAAACAGGGACCTATATTTAGCCCAGACACGGATTCAAAGCCCACCTTTGAATTTTTCACCATATTTTTATATGGTGGTAGTCCTACTGCTGGAGACCACTGTAGATCACCATTGGGCCCTGACCCACTCATCTGAAGGCCATAAGCCCCATAAGCTTTGATTCGCCACAAAAGGGGGAGGGGGAAGATAGCCTACATGGTATTTACCGTATTTTTCACTCTATAAGATGCACCAGACCACAAGACGCACCTAGTTTTTGGAGGAGGAAAACAAGAAAAAAAATATTCTGAATCTCAGAAGCCAGAACGGCAAGAGGGATCGCTGCGCAGTGAAAGCAGCAACCCCTCTTGCTGTTCTGGCTTCTGGGATAGCCGCACAGCCTGCATTCACTCCGTAAGACGTACACACATTTCCCCTTACTTTTTAGGAGGGAAAAAGTGAGTCTTATAGAGCAAAAAATACAGTATATTTTCCCAGGTGCAGAGCCATTAGGAGTGGTCATTTACACCAGGAAAACACCCTCCTCAACCTCTATGGCAGCTCCAGTCAAAATGGGAGTCTTCTTGACTACTGTGGCGCAATGAGTCAGCACAACTAGCTGTTAACCAGAAGGTGGATGGTTCGAGCCCAGCCAGCTGTGGGCAGGATTTCTGCATTGCAAAGAGTTGGACTAGATAAACCTCAAGGTCCCTCCAACTCTTAAGATTCTACTTAGCATCACACTTATTAGCCACACCAAAGTAACATTTAGTTGTTGTTGTTGTTTTTTAACTTTTTAAAATGTTTAAATGTTTTAAAATGTTTTTTTAAGCTTTTTAAAATGTTTTTAACTGTTTCTATTTTAGTTGTAAGCCACCTTGACTCCCATAAACAGCCTCCTTCCAGTATATCTGAAGGAGCGTCTCCACGCCCATCGTTCTACCTGGACACTGAGGTCCAGCGCTGAGGGCCTTCTGGCAGTTCCCTCACTGCAAGAAGCCAAGTTACAGGGAACCAGGCAGAGGGGCTTCTTGGTGGTGGCACCTGCCCTGTGGAACGCCCTCCCACCAGATGTCAAAGAGAAGAACAACTACCTGGCTTTTAGAAGACATCTGAAAGCAGCCATATTTAGGGAAGCTTTTAATGTTTAACAGACTACTGTATTTTAATACTTCGTTGGAAGCCGCCCAGAGTGGCTGGGGAGACCCAGCCAGATGGGCGAAGTATTATTATTATTATTATTATTATTATTATTAGGGGGGAAGGTGAGATATAGATATAAATAAAATGATAATGATAATAGTGCATCCATCATCAGTAACTTCTAGCACACCCATGCAGTCATATGTTTGCCCTAGGTATGAAAGGAGGAGGGGTGATTTATAACGGTTCTGGAAGTCTTCTTAAATGCAATTAGACATAATAGTCAAATAAAAGGGGTTACAGTTGGGCTAAATGAGTATAAAGTTAAAGCCTTTGCCGACGATTTGGTAATGACTATGGAAGAACCAATAGAAAGTGTAAAGGAGGTATTGGAAGAGATGGAACAATTTGGTAAGGTGGCAGGATTCAGATTGAATAAGAATAAGACGAAAATGATGGTTAAAAATATGGAACAAGATACGATTGAATTAATGCAGCAACAAACTGAGATAGAGGTGGTGAAAAAGGTTAAATATTTGGGAATTTGGCTATCACCTAAGAATATTGATTTGTATCAAAACAATTATACTCAGGTTTGGAAGGGTATAAAGAAGGATCTGGAGGTGTGGGCCAGAATGAAACTATCATTTTGGGGAAGAATATCCACGGTAAAAATGATGGTGCTACCAAAGATGTTATTTTTATTTCAGACCATACCCATTTTAAAGGGTATAGGAATTTTCAAAGAATGGCAAAAAGTGATTTCAAGGTATATCTGGCAGGGAAAGAAGCCTAGAATAAAATTTAAGTTATTGACAGATGTTAAAGAGAGAGGTGGCTTCGCCCTGCCAGATATGAGATTGTACTACGAGACAGCATGTTTATGCTGGGTAAAAGAATGGATAAAGTTAGAGAACAATGAATTATTGGATCTCGAAGGTTTTGATAACAGATTTGGCTGGCACGCGTATCTTTGGTGTGAAAAAAAGAGGGTTCACAAAGGATTTGGAAATCACATCTTCAGGGGTTCATTAATAGAGGTGTGGGAAAGATATAAAAATATATTGGAACCAAAAGTCCCGCATTGGTTGTCCCCGCTGGAAGTTATGAGTGTTAAGAAAATTAATATGAGAAAAAAATGGAGAACATACGGTGATCTGGTGACTAATGAAGGAGGGAAATGGAGACTGAAGCCATATGAACAAGTTAAAGAGTATATATATGATTGGCTGCACTATCGTCAGGTAAATGAGATAATTAAAAAGGATTTGAAGGAGAAAGGTTATGTAGAAAAGGAATCAAATTTCCAGAAAGACATAATAAATAATGATTATAAAACTCTGTCAAAAATGTATAAGATATTGCTGGAGTGGCATAATAAGGATGAAGAGGTTAAATCGGTAATGATACAGTGGGCACAGGATTTTGGGTATAATATTCAATTTGAAGAATGGGAAAAACTGTGGAAAGAGAACATAAAATTTACGGCATGTACGTTGCTGAAAGAGAATGTAATGAAAATGTTTTATAGATGGTATATGACCCCTGTAAAACTAGCAAAGATGTATAAGGTTGATAACAAATGTTGGAAATGTAAAGATAAAGAAGGGACGTTCTTTCATCAGTGGTGGGAATGTAAAAAAGTTAAAAGTTTCTGGGAAATGATATATAATGAGATGAAAAAAATGTTGAGATATACTTTTGTGAAAAAACCAGAAGCTTTTCTTTTAGGGATGGTAGGAAAGGACATAAGAAGGAAGGACTCTAAACTCTTTCAATATGCTGTAACGGCAGCCAGAATCCTGTTGGCCCAGAAGTGGAAACAAGAGGAGATACCGACGATAGAAGAATGGAGACTAAAATTGACGGACTATGCGGAACTGGATAAATTAACTGGGAAAATCAGATATGCTAAAGACCAAAAGTTCATCGAGGACTGGGGAAAACTGGTGGATTATCTGAAAAATATATGTGGTATAAATACAACGTTAGTGGGATTCCAAGAGGCACTGTAAAAAACAAATAAGTATTGTTTATTAAAAATAATAGGAGTAAGGAGGAATAATGGCAATATGAAAGAAGGGAATGCGTATCAAAGATATAAAAATGGATGACTGTCAGAGACGCTGAAGGAAGTTCAAAACAGGCACAATTTGTTGTATTCGGGTTAAAATGTATAACTGGATGAAAAATAATAAAAATTTATTTAAAAAAAAAAAAGAAAGGAGGAGGGGTGAAGCATGTTAAGACACCTTATCAGGCTTCCCATTCTCATGGAGGACCTGTACCCAGATAAACACTTAGGCCACCTTTCGCACGTGCTGAATCATGTACAACTTCCAGGAGGCCTCTCCAGGGCCTGGGGGCATGGCCGGCAGTGGCAATATCCCACTAGGGCGTGTTGAATTTTTCAGCTTTCAGCTTCCAAAAATGAGGGGTGCTAAGAAGTTGTAGCCTGACTTGGGAATTCCAATGATATTTCTGTTAAATTAATATGATTTAGTTTTGCTTGGTGAGTAAAATGTGTGTAAAATGGCTCAGAAACCATGACAAATGATTACAGAGTACTTGCAGTTATATTATATATTCATTTTACTTGTTTATTTGTTTAGTGTCACCTGGCGTTTTCAGAAGGTAACGTTAAAATTCTTTGGCTTTCCAAAAGCAGCTTATGTGCTTCTTACTCAACGAGATGTTGTACAATCACAAAAATAAGAGCAGATTTGAATTCTTCACACCCAAAAACATATTTTTACGACCCCCCATTAAGAAAATAGCAAAAAATTAAGTATCACCCCCCTAAAATGGCACGCCTTAATATCCCACTCACCAAGAGGGCATGTGTGCTTGTCTGAACTGCCCACCTCAGGAAGCCCTGTCACGGTTCTCCTGCATCCTGCTCTGCCTGTTCCCTCGACCATCCCAAGTTTGGGAAAGTCTGCTTTACCAGTTTCTCTCGCCGGCATGTGTGTATCTTTGGGGGGGGTGCCTTTTTAGAGAGGGAGCAAGTGTTGCCTGCCCATCTCCAGATATGCTTCTCAGTCCCTTGCAAGTTGTAGGCCATGCCTGGTGGTTGCTAAGCAACCATCAATTATTTTCCGTTCCCATCCTCCCTGCCTTAGAACTAGCAAAGAAGCCAGCTTGGGGGGCAGGAGCTGGGGGTGGCTGGGTAGGGGCAAATGGCCGTATGTGGGGAACAGACACGTGGCAAAGGAACGCACGAACAGAGAGTCTGTTCCTCGCATCCCCTATATACCTGCCTCTCTCCAGAAATCGCTTATTAACAGCCAGGAAGCTCTAGCCAGAAACAAGCAAAACATGGGGGGGGGGACCAATTCCTTTGAATAATCCTTCTCTCGCCCCCACCTTGCTCGGAGCCTAAAATGAGCAAATGACTTCCAAGCACTGCTTGAAGCTGGACAGAGAAGGCCCCCCCCCAGCCCCCAGCGCTTAAGCGCCTTTGGTCCATTGATTGTGAGTTAGTTAGCAAGCGTTGTGAGTGGCCAAGTCACACCAAGCTGAAGGCTGCTGGCTGAATAAGGGGGAGGCAGCACGATTCACGATAATAAAGCCTTTTTCTGAAGAAATGGTGCCCTGTGGGCCAACGATGGTGGAAGTTTAATTAGTTGGATTCCAAGCTCCGAGGCTCTAGGAAGGTTACTGGGTTTGTTTTAGATGTGTCCAGTATGAAAGATCTGACTCCGGAGCGAACGTTCTATAAAAGCTTAGAACAATTTCTTATCCTGCTTCTTCTTTTTAATTCCTCACCTGTCTGAGGCGAGGAAGCAACAGAAATTGTGTGCTTTTGGGCTAATGAGGCAGCCGTGAGTAAGAAGGGATGTCTTTATGGTTCACAATCAGCTCGAGATTGAGAGAACAGAGTAGATTCCAAACAATGGCTGTTCCATACTCTCAGGGCCTTTGATATTTATTTGATGCTCATATTTGTTGGAGGCAGGGAAGGACAAAATCTGTCACTTTTGGTTTCTCTCAGATTGCTACATTTCCACATCAGTTTGTGAGTGGTTTTTTGTGTGTGTTTTTTTAAAGTCCTAATGATGCTTTTGGATTATGGTGCTGGAGGAGACTCTTGAGAGTCCCATGGACTGCAAGAAGATCAAACCTATCCATTCTTAAGGAAATCAGCCCTGAGTGCTCACTGGAAGGACAGATCCTGAAGCTGAGGCTCCAATACTTTGGCCATCTCATGAGAAGAGAAGACTCCCTGGAAAAGACCCTGATGTTGGGAAAGATGGAGGGCACAAGGAGAAGGGGACGACGGAGGACAAGATGGTTGGACAGTGCTCTCGAAGCTACCAGCATGAGTTTGACCAAACTGCGGGAGGCAGTGGAAGACAGGAGTGCCTGGCGTGCTCTGGTCCATGGGGTCACAAAGAGTCGGACACGACTAAACGACTAAACAACAACAACAATGTAAACTCATCAGCATTTTAGGGCATCATAAGCAATCTCTTCTATGCAATATCCCCTAATAGAGTGCATTTTTGTAGTGCTATGTTCAAAAATATGTGAATTATATGAATATATGCACATTTGCCCCCTAGCAGACACATGTTTGCATTAGAGATCTGCAAAACAAAATTTGAGAACTCTGAATTTCATATGATAGCCGTGTTACAGTTTATATATTGTTTTGGAAAAAAGCAGTCTGGGGCGGGGAAAGCAATTTTCACAAGGAAAATGATGCTCAAAGAAATATTCTAAAAACCTCTTCCCCAGGAGCTAGATTTTAATCAAGTTTTCTGTTTACATTATTATTTGTACTAGTATTTACTACTGCTGTTGATTTTGCATGGACTGCTGCTGTCCAGTTTTGATTCCAGTTTTCCATTTCTATAAATATTCTGTGTTCTGCTTTACTCGGTTCCCGCAGTAAGGAATTGTGGTCTTTGAATGCTAAATAGCCATGCATATTCAACAGAAGTCATTTTACAGTGCATCGCTTCAGGCCTTACATGGGGTGGGGTGTCGGGAATTCAGAGATAGAAGACAGAACAAAAAAATCTCAGAAAATACCCAACTTTCATAATTGCACTGCTCTGCATATGTAGATTGCCACTCCAATCTTTGTCCATCTGGAAGTGATTTTTCCCCCCTGCTTGAAATTTAAATAACTCACAAAACTACCAGATTCATAGTCCCATTGCTCATCACAAAAGTTGGGCATGTGGGTGGACTGGTTTCTCCCTCAACCTTCAGTCTTAGGTGCTTCTCTCGCCATCTATTACTTACCAAGGAGATGTAAGAAAATGTAGAAGAAAAGCAGACGCTTCATTTTGCAGCCTGTGGTTTGCACTTTATCTCCTCTTGGACTCCCAGTGAACTTTGGAGCGCTCCAGCGCCACGTGACACCTGGGAACTTGAAGGGGACTTTGTGAGACTGAAGAGGCTCCTGTCTCAGGGAGCTGAGAGGAAGACACAGAGTTTTCTCTTTGCGTCAGAATAGGCTGTGTAGGAATAGTACGATCAGGATCATGGTTTCCTTGCACCAAAAGAGCGGCATCCAAAACGCAATTCAGAAAATCACACCTGCACTTCAAGAAAAGGAACCTGAGTACGATTGCAAGCCTGTACAACATGTGAACCCCTAAATCGGGGGGGGGGGGAGAAGGTGGTGCTTTTTACCTTTAACCCTTGGAACTAGGGATGAGCAAATATGTAAATTTCAGTTCTCTTGGTTACTCATTTTTCCACATTTCCAGTTGGTGACTTATTTTTTTAAGTCTTCATGAAAATTCACCAGGATGTTAGTGTGAATTTATCCTAATTTTCACACATTTATCCTCATACCCACACATTTTTGTATGCAATTTTTTAAATACCTTAATAACAACAACAACAACAACAACAACAACAACAATAATAATAATTAAAAATAATAATAATATATTATTTATACCCCGCCCATCTGGCTGAGTTTCCCCAGCCACTATGGGCAGCTCCCAATCAAATGTTAAAAACAGTACAGCATTAATATTAAAAACTTCCCTGAACAGGGCTGCCTTCTACCTGCTAGACACATTTTTGCAAAGCAATCTCCCCCACTACAATGCATTTCTGGCGTGCTATTTTTCACGATTGTATTTTTATGAATACATGCAGCAGTGTGGCTGCTGTCACATGCTGGCAGTTTTTGGAGCCACAAATGAGAGCTGAGTGCAGGCTGGGGACAAACAAACCCAGAAGGAGCACCATGTGTCCCCCACCAGAGGTACTACCCCATACCCCCCCCCCAAAGCACATCTAACGTGCATCAGATCTTCATGCGCTGCTTGTGTCTGTGATGAATGAATGATAAAGATTCAGTTAGCAAGACCTCCCTGTGAGTCTCTAAAATGTCAGGGAAGACGTGACATTGCTAGCATAAACCCTTGGGTAAAAATATGAAAGGGGAGAAGACTTTAAAAGAGATGCAAGGAAATAAATAGCAAAAAATGCAACAGTTAGTATGCCCTTTTCAGCACATATTTGACTTCGCAGCTGGTCCCAGGATCTTGCTGTTAGACTGCAATCCAAAATTCACTTACTCCGAAGTAGCATTATTAACATTAATGGAACTGCTCCTCAGGAAATGGGGTTGTAGGTTAGGACGATGAGAGCCCAGTTCTGAAAACGATTTGGAAGATATCTTTGAGCCTTAATTAATTGGATTTTATTCCCTGCTTGCACAATGGTAACATTCTATATAACTGCCGCGCTTTATCCATTTCTGCTCATTCATTCTCTGAAATGCTTGTTATCTCATAATTACTAATAATAGTGCCAAATGGCACTCTCTCTTTTTCCTAATTAATGCTCTTGAAAGAAAGCAACTAGCAGAAATGGCTTCACATTGTCCTTTGGACAGTGGGTGGTTTTTCATTCTTATCCGCCAAACTCAGTTGTGGCTCCTTTTCTAACCCCACATATGAGACGTCAAGGCAGGGATGGGTCAAAAGATGAGCGAATGGAGAAGGAAGAGAACCATGTCTGTTTGTAGTTTTTGCCCCCCTCTCTCCCTGGAGGCAAAATTAGGACAGAGTCTCAGAAGCAAAATTTGTAACACTTTCCCTGATCTCTCAACGTGTGAGAAATAGCAACGCTTTACTGATACCGCCAATTTTCTGCAAGAGCGCTTACCCTCTGCATCTCCTGGTTATATAAAATAGAGATTTCATAACAGAAATCTCTATTGCTTGGATAAGTTGAACGGAATCCATTCCGGAAGTCCGTTTGACTTCCAAAATGTTCAGAAACCAAGGCGCGGCTTCCGATTGGCTGCAGGAAGTCCCTGCAGCCAATCGGCAGCTGCGGAAGTCACGTTGGATGTTCAGGTTCCAAAGAACATTCACAAACTGGAACACTCACTTCCGGGTTTGCGGTGTTTGGGAGCCAAAAAGTTCAACTCACAAGGGGTTTGGGATCCAAAGTACAGTGGTACCTCAGGTTACATACGCTTCAGGTTACATACACTTCAGGTTACAGACTTCGCTGACCCAGAAATAGTGCTTCAGGTTAAGAACTTTGCTTCAGGATGAGAACAGAAATCATGCTCTGGTGGCGCAGCGGCAGCAGGAGGCCCCATTAGCTAAAGTGGTGCTTCAGGTTAAGAACAGTTTCAGGTTAAGAACGGACCTCCAGAACGAATTAAGTACTTAACCAGAGGTACCACTGTACAACATTATTATTATTATATCACAGGGCAGTTCACAACATAAAAATACAAAATGAGAACACGAAATATATAATAAATCAAGAACAAACCAATAACTCCCCTCCAACAAACACATTTAAAAGACCAAAGAATGTTATTCAGCCAGGAGGTCAAATCGGTCATGATCAAATGGATAGAGGATATAGGACATAATATACAATTTGAGGGAAAATTGTGGAAAGTAAATCTGAAATTTACAGATTGTTCTCTTTTGAAAGAAAATTATATGAAAATGATGTATATTGCACCAGTACAGATAGCGAAAATGTACAAAACCGGGTCAAACACATGTTTGAAATGTAAAGAAAAAGAAGGGACTTTTTATCATATGTGGTGGGAATGTAGAGAAGTTTTAAAAAATTGGGAAATGATATATAATGAATTAAAAAAAATGTTTAAAATGACATTTGTAAAAAAAAACCAGAAGCATTTCTGTTAGGGATTGTAGGACAAGACCTGCCAAGAAAAATAAAGAACTTATTTATGTATGCTACAACAGTGGCAAGAGTCTTGATAGCACAAGGATGGAAGAATGAGGAAATCCCAATGAAAGAACAGTGGCAAGAAAAATTGATGAGTTATGCAGAGCTGGCTAAATTGACATACACATTGCGGGACA